TTTAAAATGGCTCAACTAAAGGCACAATATGAAACTTAGTTGTGAAACTGCAATTAAAAATCAAAGAAATTAGAGTACAAGTATTCTTTTTAAAAAGATTAAATAGCAGTATACAGCTATCACTTCCACAATTTCTTCTTTTTTTGTTTCACAGTTCCCTTTGTTCCTTTTGACTTCTTTTCCCAGTCTTTGTTCAAGTTTCTTTTCTTCTTTTTCAGAGTTTCTTCTTGTTGCTTATGGCATTTAACCTCTAAGTACTCTGTATATCATGTGTGGACATGCCTGGTGGACCGCAACATACTCTTATCAGTTACAGTAGATTCAAGTCCTCCAGAACTCAGGAGAAAATCATAAATCTGGCATTGACAGACAACCGTTTCTACAAATTCTCTATTAACATTGACTTCTTTTTAAAAATTCTCTTTATTAATGTTATAATAACTTTATAATAAACAATTAACCACAATAGAAATATACAATGTAACAACTGCAAACTAGTACAGTGTAGTAAATGTCACACAATAGAATATTATATTGAGAACTCCATTTACAACTTTGTTTTTAACATTTTTTAATTACCCGAGATGCTAATCATTTATTATATTTGGAATCTCTTCTTGTTGCGACAAGTGTTCTAATAATAGAATTTATATAAAATTAGATAGTGTTTCTTGAGAGAATCTTTCATCCAGATGATTTGTTATTTTAGCCATTACATGCAAATTCCATGGTGCACTTCTAATCCCTGACAAAGACAACCTGTTGTTATGCCTTTTCCCCTCTGCCTAGATTGCTGCACAAATTGCTCTGCAGACTACAGAAGTTTTTTCCTTGTGGTGAATTCTGTCCATCCTTTCTTTAGCCACACCTCTTTTTACTGCCTTCATTACCATTGTGCAGATCTGCTTATTCTCCTGTTGACAAATTGATCATCTCCTTTCCTGCATGGTAGCAGTTGTTGTTGTTCAGTCGCACAGTCGAGTCCGACTCTTCGCGACCCCATGGACCAGATCACGCCTGGCCTTCCTGTCTTCCGCCGTCCTCTGAGGTTTGCTCAATTTTATGTTCATTGCATCGATGACACTGTCTAACCATCTCATCCTTTGCCGTCCCCGTCTTCTTTGACCTTCAATCTTTCCCAGCATCAGGGTCTTCTCCAGTGAGGGCTCCCTTCTCATTGGGTGGCCAAAGTATTTGAGCTTCAGCTTCAGCATCTGGCCTTCCAGGGAACAGTCAGGGTTGATTTCTTTTAGGATTGACTGATTTGATCTTCTTGCAGTCCAAGGAACTCTCAAGAGTCTTCTCCAGCACCATAGTTCAAAAGAATCTATTCTTCGGCGCTCGGCCTTCCTTATAGTCCAACTCTCACAGCCATACATGACTACTGGGAATACCATTGCTTGGACCATGCGTATTTTTGTTGGCAGGGTGATGTCTCTACTTTTTATCATGCTGTTGAGGTTCGCCATCGCTTTCCTCTTTGAGGATTGACTGATTTGTTCTTCTTGCAGTCCAAGGGACTCTCAAGAGTCTTCTCCAGCACCATAGTTCAAAAGAATCTATTCTTCAGTGCTTGGCCTTCCTTATAGTCCAACTCTCGCAGCCATACATGACTACTGGGAATACCATTGCTTTGACCATGCGGACTTTTGTTGGCAGGGTGATGTCTCTACTTTTTATCATGCTGTTTAGGTTCGCCATCGCTTTCCTCCCAAGGAGCAGGCGTCTTTTAATTTGATGGCTGCTGTCACAGTCTGCGGTGATCTGGGATCCCAGGAACGTGAAGTCTGTCACCACTTCCACGACTTCCCCTTCTATTTGCCAAGGAGTGATGGGGCCGGATGCCATGATCTTAGTTTTTTTGATGTTGAGGTTCAAGCCCACTTTTGCGCTCTCCTCTTTTACCCTGAGCAAGAGGCTCTTGAGGTCCTCTTCACTTTCTGCCATTAGAATGGTATTGTCTGCATATCTGAGGTTGTTGATCTTTTCCCCAGCAATCTTAATTCCAACCACATAGTGGAGCAAAACTCCTGGGGAAATTGTGTGCTTCCTTTTATAGTGGTGTATGATGCTCACCTAACTGGGGAATCTTTGAACAGATAATACATGTGGTGCAAGACTGAATTAAGGTCCCCTTTCACTGCCTGTAATCCTGTTTTAGAAGACCCATGTGTACAACATGAAGGCTACAGGTTCCAAGGTCAATCAGTTCGTTTTCTTCTCGTTTCCAGTCAGGTTTGGCTTTTATCTTTTAATTTTTTTCTCAGAAAAAGGTGATTTACATTGGGCCCATCCACAAACACCCGTAATAATGTTGTTAAGTAGTGAAGAAGACATGCCTTCTTGAAGCTTCTGAAGAAGGTCTTCAGCAGTAGCAATTTGAAGGAAAACACTGGTCAGGTACTATGTGAAGGTTTTTTGGCAGTATTCATCCCAAAAATAAACCACTAAATCCATCTGACCTTTTTGAATTGCCTTATTCAAAGTTCCATCAAAACAGATAACTGTAACAGTGCCAGATATTTGTTTCAGTGGAAGGTTAGAGAAGTATGGTGCCAAGACAAAAACTACAGCATACATTGCTTTTGTTTCCCCCAAGATTAAACTCTTGGGCTATTGGACTATCTGAAAACATTCCCTTGAATAACTAATTGATATTGTTGAAAGAGCTGAATAGCATCTTCATCACTAGATGCCAAGTCCACAGGCACTCTGCTCCCCTCACAGAGTCTTTGATTATATGGGCACCCATACTGGTTTGTGAAGCAGGTAATTCTTTGCATTTGTCATCACTCTGAACATGTTTTAGTGTTTTCAGAGCCTCTCTCTTCCTCCTCTGTGCTTTTACTACCTGAACTTGTACTTGGTTTTGAAGCAAAACACATTGCAATGGACTGACTTAATTTGTTTTAAAAGTACCCATGGGTACACTGACAATTTTCAGATTCTTCTGGAGTAATGGTCCTTGTGCGTGACACTGCACAGCGCTTTCAATCTATTTGGTGTGGAGAACTACAAAACTGTCAATTAATATGGGCTTAATGCTTAACTTAAAACCTTGTACGTTTAACCCTGTATGTAAGGTAAATGGACTACTTGTAAGTATGTTCTATTCCAGTGTAAAATTTGCGGGTTACGTGCAGTTGTGTAACTGTGTTGTACAGCTGCTAGTGGGTGCCCTTAATAAGTCCCAGACTGAGGCAGGTAGACTTGGAGGCCACCCTGAATCTATTTCTTTGGGCCCCAAATAGCTTCCTATATTCTTTTTATGCAGTGACATTACAAAAACACACATTTTACCACTGAGTTTGTAGCAACAATTAAGGGTACAGACGTAAGACAATTGATAGTCCAATGCAGTCTGAAGTCTATTTTACACTGACATAAAATACTTCCATCAGCTTCAGGCTAAGACCCTCAAGTGGCCTAAAAGAAACATGCTCAGATGCAATGCTCAATGAATTGGAAATTACTGATTTCTTGAATGTCATGGAAAACTGGCTTGATACTTTTTTCCTGTTGACTATTTTTGTCTTTATGTAAAGTGAATGTCTAATGTTTGTCACGACAGAAATGCTGCAATTTTCTTTTTTGTGGAAGCAGAGAAGTCTCTATGCTGAACAGTATGTTATAAAGTGTCTAATTTACTGCTTAAATTAACATGTTAAAATAGTTTTTATTAACATAATTCTGTACTCGAACAAAATTTGAGTCCAGTGGCACCTTTAATACCAACAAAGTTTAATTCTGGGTATAAGTTTGTATGTGCAGGGCCAACTAACAGGGCATAGAGGCCCGGGCCTTCCCCTTGATATTATCTCCTAGCCCTGATATTCAGAGATTTGCCGCCTCTGAATAGGAAGATTCCCTGTAGACCACATGGCTAGCAGCCATTGACAGACCTCTCCTCCACGAATCTGTTTAACCGCCTTTAAAAGCCATCCATGCTAATGCCCATCACTGTGTTCACTGGCAGTAAATTCCATAATTTAATTATTCATTGAGTAAATTAGTATTTCCTTTTGTTCACCTTGAATCTACAACCCACCAATTTTTATTGGGTATCCTCAATTCTAGGCAAGGTGGTTGGTCCTAAGAGAAGGTAGTGTGTGGATTTTGTTTCTGTGAGGGTCAATGCAGCGGGCTACAATTTTCCCCCCACATTATAAAACATCACATGGATAGCAGGTATCCTTGGAAGAGCAAGATTTATGGGCACAACCTTCAGCACTGAAGTCCAGCCTCCCACATTTATCCCACACACACACACACAAGCGCTTAAAAAAATAGTGAATTTATAAATCTTTGAAATGGTGTTTGTATTATTTAAGTCGGAAATTGATTTTATCATTTTAAACACTACTCAGCTCTCTCTGAGGTGATTTTCAGCCCCCCCAAATTTTGGGATTTCCAAAAAATCCCAGATCCCAGTACCACTACTGTATTTGAATCTGGTTTTTTTCAGAAATCCTGAATATATATATTTTTTTTTTGGGGGGGGGGTGTTTTCAATAGACCCGAGTGGAAAAAACAGGGGGGGGGGGGGCAAAGTCACAAGAAACAAGGTTTTGCCTTCAAGTAGCAAAGAATGGTCATTCAGTGATAACTATGAAATAAAAATATATTATTTTTCCTAAAGGTGGCTGGTTTTTAATGAAGTTTAACAAAAGTTAACTCTTCCAACTGTAAACATGTTTTTTTTCTGGAATAAAAGCCATTGCCTTGGATCCTTACTCCAGCAGGGCCCCTGCACAGCTCCTCAAAGGCCCCGATGGTTGGGGTCTCCTCCAGAACTGCCCCCCCCCCCGACGGGCTGCTGCAAGAAGCAAATATCACCCCTCCCCCTGTGCTGTGTGGAAGTGCTTTCTTCTTAAGTACAAACGTATTTGGATCTTGGCAGTATTTACTTTCATTCCATCAAAAGATGCAGAGCCTTGGAATTCTGCTTTTTAAACAAAGGTTACAAAATTGAATTTTTATTGTGTCACACAAGATGCACTTATAAAATTGGTACAGAATATCATTTAACGGGGGGGGGGATCATTCCACGTTTCCTTTGAGCAACAGTTAAACAAAAATTAGACTACATCAAATTCACAAATACTTGAATTAAATTTTAATGAGTCAAATTTTATCAAAATAAAATACATCCAAAATAAACGTCTCCCTGCCCTATATCCGAAGTTCCCCCGGCTCCCCCTAACGCTTCTCCGACTGAAGGGAGGCAGATGCAGGTAAGAGGGGGAAGAAACACACCTCTCGGATCAGAGAGTACCGGCCTAACTTTTATTTTCAGAGACTGCTCCATCAGGACATTATTTCTGTACATTCATCTCGGTAACAGTAATCGGTGTCTTTTGAGGAATAAACATGGATCTGGAATTTTAACACTTTCATATTTTTCCTTTTTTACTTGGCCACTCTGTGATTGCTACTAAACTGACTAAGATCTGCAAATCATTCAGCATGTAAAACGCCACAGTTGCACGTATGTCAAAGTGCCCAGTAACAGGGCACCCTGTCTCACACCCAGCTAAAATGTCAAATATTCCTTTTCCGCTCTTCTAGAGCACCTCTTTGCCATTCCTCCAGTGATTTTGATACCTCAAAGTACAAACTGCTGTATACTTCAAAGCCCAAACACTTCATAATAAAGCTACATTCATTCTACTTTAAACACCCACCCCTATTATTCCCCTTCCACTCCAGGCTTCTCCTGTTTTCAGCCCTGTGCCGTCATCCAAGCTGAGAAAAACACTCATGTAAAGCTGATTCTTGATACACAAAATGCAGACACGGTTTCTTTGACACAGGGGCTCATGGCTGCAAGTAAAACGCTTATGTGCCAACTGGAATCCTGCACCACACTGTGCCCCTCCCACCCTCAAACATAGATGTGTTCACATTTCATAAAGTCATTTAGTTTTTCGCTTCTAAAATAACAGTGCAAATTGGAGAGAAAGAAAAAAGCTCTACTTGCCTAGTCAATGGGCATATTCTACGACTCACTTTTTCTGATTTTTTTTCCAGTAGCTGGCTTAATATTTAGAGGAAAATATTATGCATTAAATCTTTCATTTGAGGATAATTTATTTGGATTATCTGAAATACATTGCAAACTATCTTCTGGTGGCAATATCTTGATTGTTTTATTCTAATGGAAGTTTGGAAGAAGAAGAAAAAGGCTCATGGCAGGCGAAGAATTTGGAGCTGCATGTGAAAGCCAGTAGAAAGTGGTGCTTCTTGTTAAAGACGCAAATGCATTTCCAAAGTTAACCTTCTGATGAAGGGATCTCGGCAAAACGTGACACATTCTGGAAGCACAGTTCAGAAAGAGCATAAACGAATTTAATTTTCCCCCCTCCAAGGAAGCGAGGTTGTACCTCTGCCAAGCTGAAGAGCTCTCCAAACTCATCACATTTTCCAAAAACTCCAAGAGCTGAAACCTGACCGGTCCTCAAGCCAAGTTATTCATCATAATAGGGTTGTCGTTAATAATTTAATCTTTAAATAAATATTTTAAGTGCCTGTTTGGCAAGTGTCCCTCCATTTGCTGTTCCAACAGCTCAGTATCCTCAGCACATCTTATTTACAAAAGTTCAGTCAATTCTGTTTCCACAAATTGTGAACCTGTCGATCTCCAGCAAATCTTTCTTTGCAGATCTGTGTTTTAACTCTGAATTGTCCGAGGCAATATCTTTTTCATCCCCGTCAGGAGTGGTCAGGAACTGATCAGAGCTGCTCGTCACAAGCCGTGGTGCGGCGTTCTCCTTCGGGTGCACCGGCTGGCTGGTCACAGACGCAGACAAGTTTTCATCTGTAGGGATCCGTGCATTTAAAACAAACAAACAAACAAACAGAAATTAGGACAGAAGTGTTATTTATGGCAGCTCTGGGCATGGTGATTTTTGAAAAAATATGTTTTAGTCACTGCATTGCAGAAGCAGTTAAGTTAAAGCATGTTTAAAGTAAGCAGGAGTGCGACAACTCTGTCATTTGGGTTATCAGGCTCTTAAAACTCTTTGTTGATGGTTGTTTTACTTAGTACGGCTGCTGTCATGTCAGCATATTTTGATACCTTTGCATTAAGAACATAAGAGACGCCAATGTTGGATCAGGCCAATGGCCCATCTAGTCCAACACTCTGTCACACAGTGGTCAAAAATACTAGGTGCCATCAGGAGGTCCAGCAGTGGGGCCAGGACACTAGAAGCCCTCCCACTGTTCCCCTCCCAACCCCCAGCACCAAGAATACAGAGCATCCCTTGCCCCAGACTGAGAGTTCCTATCTATAAAGGTAAAGGTTCCCTTGCTTGAAAGCCAGTCGAATCCGACTCTAGGGTTGCGGTACTCATCTCCGTTTCAAAGCCAAAGAGCCAGCACTGTCCGAAGACGTTTCCGTGGTCATGTGGCCGCCGGCATGACTAAACACCAAGGCGCACAGAACGCTGTTACCTTCCCACCGAAGTGGTACCTATTTATCTACTTGCAATTTCTTGCTTTCAAACTGCTAGGTTGGCAGGAGCTGGAACTAGAGACGGGAGCGCACTCCGTCTTGCGGCACCCGTCTCTCGAACTGCTGAACTACTGACCTTCCACAGCCTGCAGTTCAGCGTCTTAACCACTTGAGCCATGACTGAAAGTTCAGGAGTACAGCATCAGCTTTACTGGAACGCTTAAGCAGGCTTTTATAGCAAATTATTTTAAAGTTTTAGAAACATTTCTGATAAACCAGCTGGCCACAGGTCCTGGCTCCCTCTCAGAAACTAGATGAGGAAGCAACACCAGCCCCAGAATTTAAAGTCTTCACTCTAACCAAATTTGTTATAGTTATAATACTGATTGATGTTTTAATTGATTGTTTTATCCTTTCTTGTAACCCGCCCTGAGCCCTGAAACGCAGGCGAGGGTGGGGGAAAAAGTCCAGTTAATAAAAACAAAACAATCAGGATAAGTAGTAAAATGGTAATTGATGGTGAGGAGCAGAGAGAACAGACAGTGAGAGGAAGCTGCCCTGGAAAAGTCCCGTGGCTGCAGGGACACACCCTGACCAATGCTCCCTCTAAGCTGTGGGGTCTTGTGAGCAAAAATTCTACATTGTGAGCTACTGGCATTAAAGTTGTGAGCGAGCGATTTGGCTGGTGCATAAATTAGTTTGCTCTGGAGCCATCCTTCCTGAGCCAAGACAAAAATGTGTGAGCCGGAGGCTAAAAAAACTGTGAGCTACCTCACACTAACTCAGCTTAGAGGGAACACTGCACCTGACAAGTTGCTGGCTGCTGGGAGCAGATGTTTGACTGCCCACTGCTGTGTGGGGGTGGGGTGGGGGTCCTCAGATGCATTTTGCAAAGCGTACCGGCAATGCTCCCTCTAAGCTATGGAGTCCTGTGGGTAAAAATTCTCCTATGTGAGCTCCTGGCATTAAAGTTGTAAGCAGGTGATTTGGCTACTGCATAAATTAGTTTGCTCTGGAGCCATCCTTCCTGAGCTAAGACAGAGATGTGTGAGCCGGAGGCTAAAAAAACTGTGAGCCAGCTCACACTAACTCAGCTTAGAGGGAACACTGTATGACGGACCGTGGGCCCTGGCACAGAGGGGGAAACAGAGAGGAAAGAGCCCAGGAAGGAGGAAGGGCAGAAGGGAATGGAGAGGGCTGGGGGGGAGCCCGGCAAGGAGAAAGAGACCGGAAGCAGGTGGCCGGGGACACGAGGAGTCTTGCTAGGCTGGCCGGATGGGGATGTGGGAAAAGGAGCCAGAGGCTTCCCCACCGGAAATGGCTCTCCAGAACGGCAAGTGGAGCAGCTTTCCCCCTCCCACAGCAGAGAGGAAAGGGGTCCTGGGAAGGAGATAACCTGTCCCTTAAAGAGAGAAGGGGTCCAGCTAAAGTAGGAACCAGGTAGGCCAGGGGTGTTCTAGGCTAAAGGGATCCATTCAAATAATTGCACTGAAGGTTTCCAAGCAAGAGATCTTCAGGGGGTACACGGCTTACACACCACCAGCCCCAAAGCTTGCACACACACACCCCCCCCCTTTATTCGATCGTGGGCAACTGAGGTTTAAAGAAACTATAGAAGAGGAGGACTGGGCATTCTTCAGTCCATAAGGGAGCTGCCTCAGAGCCTCCCTGCACCCCAAAACCACCACAGGGGTCCTCAGTGCAGAACCTGTGGACACCGTGGCATCTGCTGACACAATCCCTGGTGCCCGGGTGTTTTTAAGGAGTGGGGGGGCGGGGGGGGCTTCTGCCACTGGAGGTCTGATTCTCTATGCAGACTTTTTAGAAGCTGCTTTGACAGCAGCTCCCACCACAGCAGAAGGATCTTCACTGTGTGACTGCAAAGCAAGCTTTCGTGAGTCACCGCTCACTGCTTCAGGTACCAGTCAGCAGCAGTGACTCACACGAAAGCTCCACCCCTGCCACAAACCGGGTTAGTCTTTCAGGTGCTCCTGGACTCTTGCTCTTTTCTACTGCTGCAAGCAAGCCATGAGTATGCAAGAAAACATTTTAAAACAACATGTTAATTCTTAAAAGGCATCCTGTTAAAAAGAAAAAGAAGAGGAGGAGGAGGAGGAGGTTGGATTTATACCCCGCCCTTCACTACCCAAGGGAGTCTCAGAGCGGCTTACAGACTCCTTTCCCCTCCCCTCCCCACAACAGACACCCTGTGAGGCAGGTGGGGCTGAGAGAGCTCTGACAGAAACTGCTCTTTTTCAAGGACAGCTGTTATCAGAACTACGGCTTGCCCAAGGTCATCCAGCCAGGTGCAAGTGGAGGAGTGGGGAATCAAACCCGGTTCTCCAAGATTAGAGTCCGCGCACTTAACCACTACACCAAAACAGAGCCTCTAACTCAAATGCTGAGGATTTACTATGGGAATTATGCCTAACCTCCATTCCCTGCCGTTTTGTGTTTGGCGCTGCCTGATGTGTAAGAACTCCAAAGTTAACCACGGGCTCAAAAAGGGCTGATGACCCCTGCTTGAGAAAGACGTACCCAAAATGACATCAGCAGCTTTAAAAACCTGCTGGAAATGCCATAAGACCCCAAAATTGGTTCCTCCTTTCACATTGGGTGGAAAAGCTCAATGCTTAAGAAATTTGGGCATGCAGTTAACAGACAAAAACAGCAGAATGGAAAAACGCATCAGGTTGCTCCTTTAGGTTACTGTAAAAAAAACTAACTATCCATGCACTTAGTAGGAACTCTACTTATAGCAGCGAGATTATTAATAGCATATTCCCGGAAACCAGTCATGCTACCCCCGCAAAGAAATCTGGCTGCGGAAGAGGCACCCTGTTTGGTTCCGTCCTCAGCTACGTTTGGCTCCGGAGCCACCGCTGGCAGGCTCCTCACTCACACTGCGTTGATAATTTAAACGCACAGACGTAAAACCACCGAATTATACCATGCAGTGAGATTAGGTGTCACCAATACAGAGATTTATGAACACGATACTGACACGCTCTCCTCGCTGGGTCGGAGCACAACGACTAGAGAACGCTTCCAAAAAAAGCACCGCAGAGAAAGTAGCCGAGCATAAGCAAGAGGGTTCCGCTGACCTTGGGGGGACTTGTGTTTGCTGTGCTGTTTGCCAAGAGGCTTGCCGGGGGCGCTGGCGGGAGTGGGGTTGAACAACTTCTCCTCCATGTTTGCTTCTTTGACGTACTGGCACGACTTTCCCAGCAGCACAATGCTGTTCAGGACTTTGAGCGAGATTAACCTGAAAATAAGGAATACCTGTAAGAGGATTTGATTTCCTGACCAAGAAGTAGATTAGTTTGATTACTCCAAGTCAGATCCCTTAGGAGCCCACGGCTTTCCTCCAGAACAACCACCAAACAAAAGGACCAAGGCCAAACTACTAAGGGGTCTACTACTGCAATGGCCACTGGCCAGGCCAATTAAAAACCTGGGAAAGAGGTGACTGGATCAATGCATGTGCATAATACTTTTATAGGCACACAGCTGCAACAATTTAATAAGCTATTAAACCAGATGTGAGATCTGTGAACACTATCCGCTACTTTACTTCTTCAACCAATTACTGTTACACTTCTGCTTCGAAGATCAGGGAAGGAATTCCACGGGGGGGGGGATTTAGACTCTTCCTATGCATGCTACTTGCCCCCATCTAAATCACTCCTTTCCCCAATCTTTACAGCAGCCATGAGGGGCTAACCAGCACTGGGGGGGGGAAAGCCCCCAAATGAACCCAGATCTCCTGTTTCACATCTAATTTGGCCCTTCAAATAATTTTGTGGAGCCAGTATAGCTGAAGTCAGACACAATTAATGGTTCAACAGGCAGAAGTAAGCCACAGAATACTAAGGGATTCACTCCCAAGTGTCTGTTCCGTTCCAGTTCAGTTCAGTTTTATCATCATCACAACCCAAGATCAGCACTTGACAATATCAACAATACGTAATACACAGTGGATGCAATTAATATTATTAGAATACTGGACCGTCTTCTGCCTTGCTGAACATGCCAGAGCACAGAATCTGGCTACCTTAAGAGTAGTTTTGTTAAAACAATCGGCAAGAAGAAGAGAAGTATAACAAATCTGGATATCTGGACAGAGGCGGGGTAATGTACATATTCCGAGTGTCCTGGTAAAACCGGGAATGCAAGAGCGGACATGATCAGTTGTTTCTACCATTCCAGACCGATGTGGGCAGAGACGTTGTACATATTCAATATGTGCCTGTCTCCCTTCGAGAAGGGTGGATGGGAGGACACTGGAACGGGCCAGAGTGAAAGCTCTGTGATGTTTGGGGGATTCTAACGATAAAGGTAAGAATGAAATTCTTGTTGCAGTTCCCCATCGCTGGAAGAGAGTGGGCCCGTGACCGGTCGACTTGAAGGGCAGTGCCCCATAGTCTCTTGGTCCCACTGAAACAAGCAAGCTGTAGTCAACATTGGGTCCCATTGCCCTCAGTGGAACTTAACCACACACAGGCACAGCAGGATCCTGGCAATATGCTTTAGTTGTAAGCAATGCTCCCTCTAAATTGTGGAGTCTTGTGGGCAAGAAATCCTACTTTGTGAGCTACTGGCATTAAAGTTGTGAGCGTGCGATTTGGCTGCTGCTTAAGTTAGTTTGCTCTGGAGCCATCCTTCCTGAGCAGAGACAAAAAAATGTGTGAGCTGGAGGCTAAAAAGCTGTGAGCTAGCTCACACTAACTCAGCTTAGAGGGAACACTGGTTGTAAGTAGGGGAGAGACATTATATCCTCGTGCCGGAGTGAACCTTTTGTATTAAGGGGGAAAAGATCTGAGGAGGAAAAAAGAAAGAGTTGAAAAAGATTTATATGGAAGTGGCACTGCGTTTCAACAGGTCTGGGACCGAAATCATTTGGCTGGTGGAGTGCCTGATCACGCAGGGCTCTGGAGCCAGACTGCAGAACTAAATGCGGCTTCACGATTTAATGCTGTTGAGAGTTGTTTTTTGTTGCCTGGGCGGTTTGGCCACTCCAGATGACAGCAAGCTGCCTGAATGGCCTGGCTTAGCACGAGCTCTTCAGAACCGGGGAGCCAGGTGGCGTTGGCCACGGCCAGTACTTGGCTGGAAGACCACCAAGGAAGACGGGGGTTCCTGTGCCAAGGTAGGCAACGGCAAACCACCTCTGGCCCTCTCTTGCTGCAAAAAAACCCACAGCCAGGGTCACTGTGCCTCAGGTGCGACTTGACAGCCTATTCTTTTTCTTCAAGAAGATGGCAGGATGTTGAAGCCACTGCTCAGCCTACATAAGATGTGAAGGAGCCGGATTCAAGTCCAGGAGCGCCTCAGAGACCAACGAGACTTTCAGGGTATGAACTTCCGAGAGTCAGAGCTCTGAGGGAAATCTGGTTGGTCTCTGAAGTGCCAATGGAGCCAGCTCCAGTGCTTCTACTGGAGACCAAACAGGGCTGACCTCTGAAACAAAGAAGCAAACGGTGGTTTGTACCATGGTGGCACCCTTAAAGCTGCCCACCATTGTGTCCGCCACGTATGGCAAACAACCCATTTCCCAAGACCTCTGAGGGCCAAAGGGAAGAGAATGCGAATGTGACAAGTCTCTGAGTGAATTAAACAGCTATGAAATTTTAAAAGGTGGTACTTTTGTGTGTTGATTTTTCAGCTTTCTAAACGAAGAGAGAACATTCCACACATGGAACAAACTTTGAGTCAATATAAGCTCATACCCAGAATTAAACTTCGTTGGTCTTAAAGGTGCCACTTGACTCAAACTCTGTTGCTTCAGCAGGGGGGGGGGCAAACTTGATTAATGTAAGAGCCACATAGAACAAACGTCAGATGTTTGAGAGCCACAAGGCATAAACGCACATGTCCTAATTGGAAAATATGCAAATTTGCATATTAAATCAAAGAGACAGATGCCTTCTCTGTGCCAAGCCAGTCTGCCGGTGTGGCAGGGCTTGGAGAACACATTTAATTTTAGAGGGGGAGGGAGGGAAGAAAGACAGAAAGTGGAAAGAAAGCGGGGGGTGGTGGCGGGGGGAGAGATGGAAAGAAAACAACTTTAAATGTGTCCTCCAAGCCCCCCCCCCCGGTTCCGACTGGCTGTGGGAAGGGGTTTTAAAAGAAAAATGCCTGCCGGGGGGGGGCCCTTTGAGAACACATTTAAAGTAAAAGCTGCTTTCTTTCTCTGCTCCCCCCTGCCTCAAGCCTACCCAGGGAGAGGAACACTGGCTGGGGAAGGGAAGACCGATTGGGGAGGCGTGCCTCCCCTTCGCTTCCCCAACCGCCCTGCTGGGAGTGACACAATGTGTGTGAAAGAGCCGCGTGTGGCTCCCGAGCCTCAGTTTGGCCACCCCGGCTTCAGACCAACATGGCGACCCCCCTGAATCTATCTTAATGGAATTTCACGCATGGTTTGATAGTTGCACTTACCCACAGTAGAAGAGGACCACACAAGCACAAGCCAAGACGCCTTGGACTTTCACGGAACTGGTAACCACCCTGATGAGCTAGAGACAAAAGGGGGGGGGATGTTTTAACAGAGATCAATAAATAAGAGAACTTCTGAAGAGAAAGAAAACTTTTTGTGCAACAGGAATTACAATATTTGCACTGAAAATAACCTGCAATAATCAGCACAGCCCTAATTATTTTTAAAACTCCCTTGAGATGCCTTCTGAGAGATACAAATTAAAGCCAAAGCGACTGTCTCCCGGTATTTCTCTTTGCATTAGGGCCATGGCATCTGTGTTCTAAAGAGGCACTGATATTTATCAACTTCAGTTTGCTGTTGTTTCAGTGCAGCGTTTATGAAATAACCCCATTTCCTCAACCCTTCCTCCGGAGTAAGGAAGGCAGCCTCTTTATCCGAACTTAAAAGGAAACCCACATTCAGATGCTCTAAGAGTATTAAGATACTAAGGCATTTTAAAATTTTAAAAGCTGCCTCAACAGCATGTGCCGTTTTACCCCAACTGTGCACCCCACTAAAATGGTCAGTTTGAGTGGCTGGCCTCTTGGAACTTCATTCATATCGCCTTCAGAGGCTCTTCCCAACTGAAACTCTCAGAAAAATATTTAACATTTCATCCCTTGGTAAATTTTTACTCATTACGGAAGGGCTTTGCCATATGGCAAGAAATACACGACTTACTAAAACAGCCAACGGGAGAGGAATAAAGCCCATTCTCCTGGAAACAGAATCACTGTAATCTGTGTACGCCTGGGGGGAAAGAACTGGGTTTTAAAAATAAAGGAGTAGAATGAGTTTCATTAGGACTGGTTACATATTCTGAATTGTATCAGCCACTTCGGAGGCATCTGTTTAAGGGGAAGCAAAACTGTATTTCTAACTGGCAAACCCGGCAAAAAACCATATGTTTGTATGAGAATCCAATTAATATTAATGCAATTTAAATTCACTGAGCTACAAAGGAAGGTCAAGCTGTCTGACATTGTATGAGCAAACTGCAAAGACACTTCACACCATTCCATTAGATAATCTAATGGGAGAGTGAAAATGTCATACAGATTACAGGAAAAAATGTAACGTGACAGTCATACAATACTTGTCTATGATACCCTCTTCCTGCCCTGAAGCGTTAAACATCTCAGCTCTCCTTATTGCTCTTCTTTAAACCATAGCACACAAATAAACAAGCTTAGGGTGATCATCTATGAAGAACAAAGCATTTATTTACCTGCCCTATGCAGAAAGACAAAAAAAGACAGGCTTTGCCCCGTGAGAGTCCATAATTAGTCAGCAGGCCAACTCTTCAAAAACCAGGTAGGCTACGGAAAGAAAGCCTGGGCCGGGGATCCCCAACGTAGTGCATGTGGGCACCATGACCCCTGCTGGCATTTTCCTCGGCGCCCAACCAAAGCGTTCTTTGGAAGTGGGTGAGGCCAGGGAGGGCTTTTGCCCAGCATGGCTTGTAATTAGCTACTGAAGATTTGATTGGCTATGGAGATTTTCAAAAACACTGCTTTGGCAGCAGCTACCATCCCAGCACAAGGAGCTTCACTGTGAATTTGAGGAATGCTGTGGCAGCCATCTTGTGGTTGGCTCCGCCTCCTACGGCAGCCATTTTGAGGCAGCACCCAACACTCTGTGTCAAAATTCCAAAGCTGCCCACAGGCTCAAAAAGATTAGGGACCCCTGGCCTGGGCATTTAACAGCAATACAGAGCATTTATACAGCACTTTAAGTAAGTCAGTTACACTTAAGAAACTGTAGGTGAAAAGGTTGAGAAGCTGAAAGTGTGTGACTTTTCTATGGCCATCTAGAGAGTCCACAATGGAGATGACATTATCTCTTAAGCTCTAGGACTTCTCGTTTTTTACAACAATTTTCAAAATAATTACTCATGTGAAATGTTTTTATTATTATTATTTTGTGCAAGCTGCCTAGGTCAAGTTCCTTGGAGAAGCAGCATAAACATTTTCTAAATAAGTAAATAATTTTGAGAAACAAAAGTAATACAAGTAATAGGAGTAATACAAGAAACAGAACCTGCCACCTCCGCACTTACATTTTTCTGACGGCTGCTAACGAGATCAAATGCAAGGCTAGCTCTGTATTCACTGTAGACCTGGGGGAACAGCATGGCATACAGGTCATTTAATCGTTGGAACTTGTACCAAAACCAAGATTATTATTGTTACAAACTTTTCACTTTGAAAGTTAATTTTAGATTTGTATGCTTAATGCATTTTACTGATGGTCTTCCACCGTCTCTTAAAAAGCACGCACACAAATCAGATTGCTACAATATGGTACAGGGGAAAATTAAAGCTGGGGAGTCCCGATCCAGGGCCTTAGAGGTATTCTGATGTAAGCAGGAACAGGGGTGAGAGTGGGATTCAGCTCCGCTCACATAAAACGGAGGGGGCAGTTTCAGTCATCGACATGAGTAAAGGCACTTTCGCCTATGCAAGAACTCCAGGAGTGCAAACCTCAAACTGTGTGCTCCAGAAAAGAGAGCTATTGCTAAAAATATGGAGTTTCAAAGATGGCAGCCTAAACAAATGGCTCCAACTGTAAGCACCAAAAGCTGAACCAACATAGATGGGCTACGTAGATATGTCAGACTCCTGTTGAGATGCTAGAAACATGCTCAGGTTGTGTTTCAAAGCAAACCAGTTGTAAACTGGAAAGACCTTGGCTTATTCAGTTCAGTTGACCTTTATTGGCATAAAATACCTTTAAAAGGATTACTATAAGAATATACATTTAAAACCATGTATAGCCAGACATATAAAACATAAGGTAGAATAAAACAATTACTCATTAGAAGTTTTCCTGACGTAGCTTTATCATTGATTGCAAAAACATGGCTACGTTCATTGGTATTTCTGGAACAGAGTCATTTAAAATACGGTGCACTTTTAAAGCATCAGGAAGGTTTGTCATATTGGCTAAGATAGGATTTAAATATCTAGCACGAAAAACCACATAAAATTGACAATGCAAACAAATATGTGAAAGAGTTTCAATACATCCAGAATTGCAATGGCAAAGTCTATCCGCATATACCATATTTTATCTCCCATGCAAGATTGCTGATAGTATTACATTGAATCTTGCTAGAGAGAAGGCTCTGTGCTGTTGCGATGCTTGTATACCAGATAGATATGGGGTCATTCGGCCTACCGTAAGGGGCATCTCAAAGTTCAGGGGAGAACAAGATGCATTGGCTAAGCTGTGAAGCCTTTGTGTTTCAATATCAAGGGCCTTGGCTTACTGAAAATAGTTAAAACTCACTTCCAAGGAAATGCAGTGAGAAGCAAGAAGCAAAAGACAGAGATCTTTTGATTTATGCTAATTATTTCAAAGAAAACTAAAACCCAGCATCCGGGTTGTAAGCAGGAAAGCTACATAAGCACAATTCCAAAAAACTTTAGAAGGATGTATGCTTTAAGGCTCGTAAACCGCATTCTGGGTTCAGCATCGGCAACTTTCATCGACTTAGCAATGCTGGTTTTTTAACACTCCCACCCAGGAGGGGAAGGAATTAAGCACCACAATCCCCCCCCCCCCCAGCTATCACACTCGTGCAGAATGTTAACAAGAAACCTCACGGGACTTTCCCCATATCAAATTGAGCAGGCTGGGCCTCACTGTACTTTCACTTATTAGTTTGTAATTTTTGTACACCCTATGCAAAAGCAAGGCATGTTTAAATGCCTCAGACATAAGGAAATTTATTACATGTATTTATTATACTTATTATATGATACTGTGTTGTTACTTCAAGATAATATCAAACTCAGCATCACTTCCTAAATTTGCTTCCTACATACACCCCCTCCTCCCCAAATGACTGGGATGAAAGGCTATTTCTAACATCATCATCCACATAGCTAATTCTCAATGTGGCCAAATTATGGATATTTAAAATCGTGAGACTGGAGCCATGAGCAGGCAAGACAGATCTTCTCACAAACCTGAAGACCGTCTCGGGTCTGCAGAAAAAGTTGAAATCTTTTAAAAGGAAGACTGAACTCCCCCACAAATGATAAGAAAGGAGTCCCCGTAGCCGATGCCCTGATGCCCTCAGTGGCCCATTGCTGGCAACCACAACAGTACTGCCAAGCCTTCAGTCCTTGGTTTCTGCCAGTCAAGGGCAGGGGGTGGAGGACAGGGCCCTGTCCAGAGACGACTCAGCAGGGCCAGGCCTGTCAGCAAGCACCGGTCAACTTGATACCACCTGACTGGCACGAAGCATTTAGGCCCAGTGGACTGCTACAGTTCAGCAGCAGCCAACCCACAAAAGCCAGTGTGGTGCGGTGTTCGAATCACCACTCAGCCATGGAATCCCACTGGGCAACTTTGGGGCCAGTCACACAATCTCAGCCTAATATGCATCACAGGGTTGTTGTGAGGATAAAATGGAGGAAAGGAGAATGACGCAAACTTGCTTTAGTCCCCACTGTTGAGAAAGACAAGGTATAAATGAAGTAAAGTAATAAATATGGAACACTTTCAAACTGTAATCTGTAACCTGAACTGACTATGGCGAACGCCAATTTGTCAGATGTTCTAGATCTCCACGTTTGGAGAAAGTGCACCAAACTGCCTCCGAACCTGAAGGGTTCCAGTCAGAAGGGGCTGCCTCTCACTGAGTAACTGTGTGGCTCACAGACCCAGGCCCGTGTGTGCCCTTGCGCTTTTGGTAGCCTTGCTGCTGTGAACTAGGGATGTGCATTTCGGGATCCC